CCACCCCACCACCCCCACCACCTGATATACATGTAAACAGTCTAATTGTGGTTTCCTGCTGGACTAGTAGAAGATATGTGAACCGCAGAAGCAAACTGCCTGTTCAGAAAGACCGTGTTTACAATCTAACTTAGCAAGTGCAAAAATAAGTCTTAAGTCTGTGGTTTGTTGATAGATAGTTCGTGGACCTACATCGTTCATGCTTATGAAGGTTTGCGTATTTGCACCCTAAATTTAAGCCATTCACTGCGGAGACCTTTTTCTAATTTCTAACACGAGTGTGAACAATGTGACTCCCTGCCAGTCAGAAATGAAGAAGCTTCTCGGATGAGTCGTCAAAAAATATATCTTCAAGAGCAAAACAATAAATCCAGCTGCCTTTTGAATTACTGCTTAAAGATATCCAGCTGCCAGAGGTGTTCTACATCTTTCAGAAGTCCTTTTAGTCTGAGCATTAAAAGGACTAGACATTTGACCGTGTTGCTTCTCTTTCAAATTGCTCCTGTCCATATTGCCTAAGCTGAGAGCAATGCTCCGTGTTTTTGTCAATCAGGTATCGGAGCTGTGCTTGAGACTCAGTCTGCAGGCCCCTTTTTGACACGCTTGACATTTTATTCCCTTGTTGCAAATGATCAGAAAGCAAACACATCCTGTTCAGAAACAGGCAGTCGTAATCATTTTCTCTGGGATATGTAAAACAAATACTGTCTGTGGAAAGTTCTCTCAAGCATGTGAGACAGAAAACTGTGGAGAACGGTATTTATACTGAAGAGTTTGGGTCAAACTGACACAAAAACCCAAAGAAAATGGATCTTTAGGGAGCTCCATGAACAGCTTGGTTCTAACTGTTCTGTTGATGCAATAGATCCTCGTTAATCTGAACTTTCGCTCTCAGCTGTGTTGTATTGTTACTTTTATAATGTATACTGCCTTAGAAGGAGCTGATCCAGCATTCAATGTGTTGGTTAGGGTGCACTTCCTCTTGCGCTAGTCTTGAGGGTTTGAAGGTGGAGCTTCATGGAGTTCCTCATGGTTTCATTTACAGTCACCCAAAGCTTTTCATATCCAGTTGTGAGTGCGTGCATGTGTCCTGTCATGGTTTACATCACTGACTTCCCTCAGGATCTTAACTAGTGTCTTGTGACCGTGTTGAAGATGACTGGGATCCAGTACCTGGCTTGTCTGTGGACTCTGTTCATCACACAGACTGGATTTGGTAAGTTGATCATTTGATTCGTTTTTTCCCACTAATTTGAATTGTAATTCACAGAGGGTGGACAGAAGAACAGGAACACTTAATGTAATGCACCTCTGTCAACATATTTTAGCTTTGCTCCTTTCTTGGGGCTGCAGTTTGTAGTGGTATTTGTTTTTGAGCATAGTGGGTTTATCATTATAATTGACCACGATAATTAACTGTGAAATATATCTTCGATAGCGACTTCTATTTTGCAACTGACACAAATCTTTAAGTATAGAATCATATGATCACCAGACTAAAAATATGTATTCCCAAACTTTTTTTTTTTCCCCCTTTTGTATCAAGTATGCAGTGAGATTCAGTTCTTGGAGAGGAATGAGGGGGAATCTGTGGTTCTTCCCTGTGTGGTTGAGCAAAGGAACCCTTCGCCCTTCGGAATCTACCTGAAGCGCAGCTGGCTGGATCCCCGCGAAGTGCTCTTCAAGTACACCGACAGCGAAGTCAGTGTGGGTAAGGCTGGTGACAAGAACCGCATCAGTGACAGTGGAGACCCGAGCATCCACTCTCTGAATGTGACCATCTCACAGCTGAGTGCCAACGACACAGACCGCTACTACTGTGAGTTTATGGTGGCCAACCCTTCCTCTACAGACGACCGAATACCTGCAAAGACCGAATTCTTCCTCCTCGTTAATGCTGGTGAGTGTATTTTTTTTACTTCTCGCCTGTTTTTCACCCACAGGAGGTTGAACTTTCCAAAACTACCACAAAACAAGAAGGTCAAATACAGAGTGTTTGGTGCTTTTCGTTTGCTCAGAAACAGTGCTCGCACTAAGCACTGCTGTCTGATAAGGCATATACTTTATAAGGGGGTGGAAATGATCATTATTGTGAATAATTTAGGTTTGATCCAGGTGCCTTGCAGCCAGAAGGAAAAGTGCTGGAACTGTAAATCGAGGGGGAATTAAAGAGCTAACTAAAGATATGAAGTGTATTATGCTGGTGGAGGATATACACCAGCAAGAGGGATTTCTCGCAACCCAAATGTTTCCCTTATTAATGTTTTTTTACGTGTGAAAAGGTCTTATAAACATTATCAAAATTGATGCTAAAATCCTAAACATGGTCACTCGGCAGTTCCTGAAACATCCTCAAAGTTCAACACAGCTCTCCTGAAATCTTAGCTGCTTTTCCCCCCCTTATTAGACACACATTCAGCATTTTGACCATGATGACTCACTCTGGTCAGTTTCTTTGTGTTTCGGCATTGCCAGCCTGGCCGTGGAAGTGCTGTGTTCCAGATGTTGAAATACACCACATGCAAAAACAAGTGCACAATTTTCGAAATCAAAAGTTTTAATCCAAGTTTTATTTAAAAAAACAGCAGAGGCCTCTGTTCTTTTTCCTGGATGCAATAATATGCAGTACAATAAATATTGATATACATCCTAAATTTCAATATACTTTACCCCAAATATGCCTTACCCCGCAGCACCCTAAACATGCCTTCAATGGGAAGATGAAATGGGATTGTTACCAATGCGTCGTATTCTAAGGTTTATTCCCTTTCCCCTTTGGAGATGCCGCTGGGTCAGCGGACATAGGGTTGGTAGAGACGTGTTCTGGGGGCTCAGCCGTGCTCCCCTGTCTCCCCCCACGCGGTGATGCCTTGACTGTAGAGGGGGTGAGTCTGAAGCGGCAGCGGGGCCAGGCGCCCGTGGAGGTGTTGTACCACTCAAAGCGTCACCACGGCAGCAGCCCTCCATCCTCCTCCTCCCAGTTCCCTATTGAGAGGGTCCAGCTGTCCTCGGCGCCCGGTCCCGAGGGCATCACCTACAACCTCACCCTGCAGCAGCTACAGCCAGATGACAGCGCCCTGTACAGCTGCCAGCTGCTCCTGCGTGGCGGGACCGACACCAGCACCAGTCTAGGGAGACATGTGTTCTTTGTTTCTGTGCGAGGTGGGTCATGTCACAGAGGGACTTGATCGCCGAGTTACTTAAGCTAACCTTCATTTTGTTTTTCAGGCTTTGGAAAATAGAAATTTCTTTTGCTGCGTCCATGTGTTTCCTGCTCCTCTTTTATGTTGTTTCAATGTCTATCAGTGTCTGATCAGTCCAGCTCTGCTACCTCAGGATGTCCCTCTGGTACTAACATAACTGCTACAAATAATATCAATATCAATGACTGTAACTTTGGTAAAGATTCCACTTATGTTCATATTTGCCAAGTTGTTGTTTCTTTCTTTTCAAATAATAATGTGAATAGAAACCTGTGTGAAATGTCTTTCTATATCTCTTGTATTATTTTCACAAGCACCAGCAATGTCCCTTCTATTTTGTCCCCTGTGGGTGTGCCCACAAATGATAACACTAGACAAAAATAGACATCACTAACCCATGAAATTAATATTTGGTAATATTTGATATGGTGCTGTCTCCACTAGCTGAATGTCAAGCAAGGTTGGGCCGTGCCATCAATTCAGAGATGCAGAGAAGTATTTTAAAGGAGTGTCTTAAGTCTGATGCTATTCTATTATTTCCTATTATCAATCCTATAAATTGACCAAATTCAACAATGAACGTCTCCTACTAACAAGTGTTTTCTGTGTAGCTAAAGCCTGGTGTTGGCTCAGATTATTGAAGTGTATGATTGACATTCTACCAGGAGTCTTGTGTTTGAGATGTCAAATGTCATTGCTGATTACTGCAGTGGTTTTTGCATTTCCCCTGAACACACCATGCACAAGCTGTCTTTTGACCACAGTGGTAGTTCATACTGCTTTTGTTTAGCTTATCTCACAAGATCTTATGAATGCAGTGCAACAAGGGAGCTGAGTGGTGTCAGTGTGGCCCCTCAGGGGATATTGAGGCCCTGAGTGTTTTTTTTTTTTTTTTTTTTTGTCTTGCAGTGAAGGCGACCCTCTTCATCTCAACATTTCTCTATCTGCTTCTTCACAGGAGATCAGTGTGGCTGCTCCAACTACTCCACTCTGGTATACGTTTTGTCCTCGGCTGGGGTCGTTCTCCTTCTCCTCCTCCTCCTCGCATTTGTGATGATCTATAAAGTGAGTGGCTTGTATTATAATGCGCTGCTCTGATACTACACAAGAGTTTAGGGGGGAAATATAACCAATTACCGAACACCACCTGCCTGTTGCGAGCGTGCCAGAGAGTTCCTCTGAGCACTCACCACAAAACCACACTAGTTTCATAACTTGTTGCTGTCAGTCGTCCCCATGTTGTTCTTGCAATTCAAAGATGCTGGCAGTGAATCTTTATTCTGCTTTTCTATTCTGGTCTAAGACGTTGTTTTTATGAGAAGTGAATTATATTGTATTTTTAAGTTATAGTAAAACATATCACAGTGAGAACGAGACTCTGTTAGGACTTCTTATTATAGATGCTGCCTCGTGAGAGAATGCCAAACTCTGATTTAACAGGAAATCGAGAGTGCGTTCACTTCACTTCACTGATTTGTTTTCCTCCTGTTTCAATGACTGTCAGGGCAAAGCACGCCGCAGTGTCAAGTCACACACTCAGGCCCCCATCTATGAGGAGATGACCGTGGTACAGCCTGCCGCTCGAAAACTGCAGCCCCTGCATCTGGAGGAAATGGGTTCCAAGTACACGAACTGCCACGTGAAGAAATCCTGCCCCGCAAACCATTACGAAAGCCCCAGCGGGGCCCTCAGCCCCAGGAGTGACTCTCAGAAATGAAGTATTAGATTTTGTCACCAGCATCGTAAACTAGACCAACTTATCCAGACTCCAATAGGCACTCTGAAGTTTCTCAAACAGATTGTCCCTGTACCGCCTTTTATCTCATGTATATTGGACTGTTGATAGTTTGAAAAAGTGAATCTGTATTTTGTCATTCTCTTAAATCTTGACTGCCACTGTCTGTTTTTGGCTATTTCAGATAAATGAAAAGTACCCTGCGGAGTTTTGTAAACAATAATCTCTATAAACCGATATCTGCGTAGGAAAGCAGAATGTGTAGGCAATGGGACAAGACTTTTTGTTACTGGTTTCCTTTTGTAATCAGAGTAGTATTGACCAAACACATTTGAGCGGGCTTTGGTAGCATGCATGTAAACAGTCCGTGTGGAGAGCAGAAGTGGCGGAATGCATTGGCCGAAAAAGCTTTTCTGCGTCTTTGAGGTCTGACAAACATTCTGACCGCATTGTCTTCCTCATAAAACATTTGCTAGCTTAGATTGTTGAGATCCAGGTTTGGCATATTTTTGTACATTTTTACTGCCGCTAACTGTCAATCAGCAGAGTAGTGTTAAAAGAAATTGGTACCAAGTCACAAATCTGTCAAAAACTCCACAGTGTACCTTTAAATACCTGACAAAGTACTTTATGACATTGATGCTTAAATTCGATTAAAAAAATCTAATATTTCCATTAAGAATTGCTGTTTATTGGTTTGCACACGACCTAATCAGGGTTTTCCCTGAACTCTTTTTATCACAAGGGGGCAAAAAGTGCGTTGCATTTGGCATAAAGTTTATGCGTATGATTCACAATGCTAGTTCTGACTCTGAATAGGTCTTAAATGTATATTTATACACATATGACGGACCACAGTATTATAGTTATTAACCTGTTAGGTGTCCAAGAGACCAGGAACAGAAGAAGTAATAAATAACCCAGCTGGGCAGCTGTCTCAGCGAGTGACGGGCATTAACTAACAGCTTACGCTGGACACACACTAACAAAACCAGTATAATTGGATTAAAAGGTATTTGAGTGGACCAAGGTAATAAAGTACTGATTCTGAGTGTTCAGGTATCTAATCCCAGAGGGAGGGGCTTTGATGCCTCTGGAAATGTGGTCCAAATTTGTTGCCACTCTGTTCCCTCCTTCACCCAACGCCAATCAGAAAGTGTTTGCATGGTAGGCTGTGCCCTTTGCATGTTGGTCTAGAGCGGCTCATGTTGGAGGGGTGTTCTCCAGAGGCCTTGATTTCTGAGTAAAAAGCTGTTTCCTTGCTTCATTCACTTCCAAGATGTCACTTGTTCTGTTGTACATGAGAACCAAACACATCATCTTCATGCTCCTGAAAGGTCTCTGCTGTTCCAGGATTCAGCATCTGAACTACAAAAGCACTGTCCAGAAACACAGCATGGACCACAGGTGTAGCTGGAGATCTAGCTTCATCCAACATCTATGCAGCGTAGAATATCTGACTATGTACCAGGTCTCATTTTGACTCCCTCGTACGGAGACGCAGGAGCTGCCTGGTTTTTGTGGCTGAAGAAGTCGTATGGATTACGATGGATTAGGATCGAGTTCTACCCACGGAATACGTTCGTCTTATTTTGTAATTATTTGCGTCTGTACATTTTGAAATTCTGATTGTGTCGTCATTATAAAATAAACCAGAATATGATTATGCTATAACTTTTTTCAATTATTTTCGATATGACTTTCTTACAACTTTTGTATTCATACTATATTATGACTCTTTTATGACTTTTTTCTACAAACTATAGAATTGCTTTTTCATTACTTTTTTTCGACTTAATATACTATGACGTTTTATGACTTTTTTGACATATGACTTTTTTCAATTATTTTCGACATACTATACTATGACTGTTTTCAACTCTGTTCAACATACCATACTGACTTTTTTCACCTCTTTTTGACATACTATACTATGACTTCATTTTTGTAGCATATATTTTTTATAACATATTATAGCCCAATATGATTTTTTAACATTTTCATGGCTTAGTATATGACATTTTTAAATATACTATCCATTGACTTTTTCATGACTTTATTTCATAATATGACTTCTTTATAACATACCATATTGTCATGTTACTATTGTATAATATACGATTCTTGATGTCATATCCATTACACTATATTATGACTTTAAGACATTGTTTTATGGCATACCATACTATGATTTATTCATAAAGATTTGTTTTCATCACATGCTATATTATTGCATTTCCTTCATCACACACTATATGATTTTTTTCATGACATTGGTCATGCTAGAATATACTACGAAATACAATACTATGCCTTTTTTTTTTAAATGCCATTTTATGCTGTCTCAATGTATTCATTGTCGTATCTCCCACCCCTAAAGAACTGTTAGTTTACTTTTGTTTCTCTACTTAACTTATTCAGTATGGATAAAAATGATTAAAAATAAAAAATACTTTTAAATCGCTGATAGAATCATGGGTTGAACTAAAAAAAAAACATTTTTTCAAAAAAGGGACAAGACACCCACTAACAGCCAAGAAAATTTGTAATTTATTAATATAGTCCGAAAGAACATCCATAATCCATGGAAACATTTTTTTCCGGTGCATGTCCTTAACAATCACATTCTATGAGGAGAAAAAATGAAACATTAAATGAACATTAAAAGCCACAACTTTGTATTTCAGTTACAGACATTTTTCCTTAATGTTTTTTTTCCAAAGTAAAGAGAAAGGCAAAGGCAAAGTACCCCCATTCGCCCACCCACTGAAAAAAAACAAACAAATGACAACCTTAGAAGTCATGGGCATTTTTTTTCTCAGTACAACCCACAGTGCTTTAGCAGAAGGATAAGCGCTCATTGGTTAAGGACTACACAGCATGGTGACGCAATGTAAAGTTTTACTCAAACATTAGATGTCAATAATGAGGAGGGGGACAGGGGGAAGTAGATTAGAGCAAAGAGAAGAAAAGAAGAAGAACCCTACATAAAACCCTGAACCCTAGATTCTGAGTCAACAAACACCAGCAGTACAGCAGCTTGGTTTGGACTCTTCCCTCCCACTTGTGCATAGATCATGATCCTTTAAAAACCAGCTTTACTCCTCCACTTCAAACCATCTGTTACATGTTAACAAATCTCTCAACTAGTGAAATACCTGTCACAGGAACAGAAATGCTAACAGACAGGCGAGATGACATAACAAAAAAATAAAAAATACTTGCACAATGCTCCTGGACTACAGGATGGAAACTTGAAAGTCAAAACATACAAATGCATTTTCTGTCACTGTGTTTTTCACAATCAAACCATTGATCAGTTTAAATGTAAAGCAATTATACTTAGATTTCACATGTAAAGCACTCCACTTTTTTTTTTTTTTTTTCAAAAGTTGATTCTTAGTCTTATTTGGTAAATATATAACTTGCTACAAACTTTTTGTTGTTGTTACTTGGTACCCACTATATTCTGTTAAACTCATGACCTTCAGTGCTTGCTTGGAGTTTAATTGTTTTCAGTTGCTTTCACAAAAAACATTAAATCTAGAAATGATGGAGTAGCGATCTGGAACCCTGGCCTTCCTGAGACAAAAATCCACATCTTTTATGAGTGTGCAAGATATTGAGCAAACGGTGTCGCTTACAGGAAATATAAAATCACAACTCAATACATACAGAGATAGTCTGTCGACGCTGAAAGAAAATAAAATAAAAAATTGAAATGACACAACACTGATCAATCCCAGAGTTCTTAAAGTAGCATAAATCTTCATTTTGCAAGATTTTCCATGTCCATATTTGATGGAAGATGAAATTTGTCTCTTTTTTTTTTTCTAACATTCCTGTTATAAAATCCTATTTCCTTGAACTTCAGACGAATGAAATGCTTGTAAACGACAGGTGGCTTTTGCAAAAAACAAACAAACAGAAAAGATAGGCACCTCTGAAATGAGTCTTGTAACAAACTCACCTCCCACACGTCATCCCTTTCTATTTCTCCATGAAGTTAACATCGGGATTACTACTCCTTCTACAGCTATCTATGGCCACAGTTCTTTGTTTTTCCCCTCCCTTTTTTTTGTTTTGTAGTTTTTTTTGTAGTTTTTTTCTTATTTAAAATTTTTTCTCCATTTTTTTTTTGTATAATTGAAATAAAATGGTGCAATACTCAACGATAATCCTTGTATTGGATTATCCCACAATAAAAGCCACTATAAGGTAGATAAACTTTTTACAGATAGAATGAAACAAATCCATTAAGTCCTTGAGTAAACATGTACACATGAATTGTCACCGTCTCCCCTCAGTACTTAAACTCGTTTGTCTACGATTAGCTGAGTGAGGGGTAGAAGACACTCAGTGCAACGTCAGACGATAATAATGTCTATCAGAATAGGTTTTGACAGAACAAAACAGAAGAAAATAAAAAAGACACAAAATATAGCATACTGAGTGGAACATTAGAGCGGGCCGTGGGCCCGGTACACAGTTTCTTGCGCACACATTCATACAAACATCTGAATTTCAAGCACACATCAAAGATGACTTTTGCATTTTTTTCTCTCAAAGATTTTGTATTTGTAACTCAATACAATACATTTTTTTTTATATTCTCTAAAAGCCCCTAGGTGTACCTGTCAAACAAAAAAAAGAACTACTGACTTCACATTACATTATTGGCGCTCCATGATTCAAGTATTTGTGTTTAATATTTTGTCTAGTTTTGATATGTTTGTGATTTTTTTTCAATGGACTGGTTGTGTTGGGCTTTTAGACAGGCTAACTAACAAACACACATATGTACAGTACAAGCACTTCAAAGTACTGTAATATGTCATCAAAACCAGAACGTGCATATCCAACTCCATATAGGAAAGCCCACGCTTTCAATCAATCATCAGTTTACACCCGACCCCAAATTCTTTCCTTCGTATCACTTATTTGCGGGGAAAATACATATTGCTCATTTTTCAGTTGTGTGAAACCTTTTAAAACAAAAATGAAACGTTTCAGAGGTCACGATCCAAGAAGTCTGAAGAGGCGATACCACACACACCAAACTCACAGTATGTATATGTGTATATATGTATACATACACACATATACATACATATATACACACACACACACACACTGTAGAGAGGAGAACCTCTCGATGCTGGTGCAGCATGGGAAACCCCCTTCACCGTCAGGGTTCTCCGGTTATGCAGGATGCGGGACGAGGAGGTCCTCGGCTATCGGGTCTGTCTGAGCTTGGATCAAGGCAGTTACAGAAACAGGCAATAGTGATTTTTGCTTGTGTGCTGCAGGACTGCACGTCCTGAAAGGTAGCCTTTTCCCGTTTTCTTGTTCTTCTTTTTTTTTTTTAGTTTAGTTTTTTAAAACTTTTTCTTAAAACGTTTTTTTTTAAGACTTTGTACCTCTTGAAATGTGCCCCTCCCCTCCTGCTGATGCAGAGTGAGGAGAGTGAGGCTGATACAGTTGGGCCCACGCCATTCTGGGTCTGTGGAAATGTACAGTTCAGCGGTCCCGCTTTGAGCGGGGCACAAAACATAAAATCGAGATAAATACAGCATCCACAAAAAGGCACCCCGGCCACCAGTCTACTCCTTTAGATGGTGGTAGTAGAGGCTGACGACAGGAGACGTTTCAGCTAGAAGTGCAGAGCTTTAACATATTATAGATCTTTTTTTTTTTTTTTGTTTTTTCTTCTCTCATTTAGATTTTTTTTGCATTTTTAAGATTTTTATGTCAAACTTCATAAAAATGACGTTAAAATGCAATTTCATTTTTGGTTTTAAAAAAATATGTACCCGGGATTACCCATCATCAACTGTGCACTGTAGCAAACTGGAACACCCAACTGAGTAAAGATTTTCTCCATAGCATGGGGGCATTCCCCACAAAAGCATAAAAAAAAAGAAAACTCTCAGCCTGTTAAGGGTGTGATGCTGTTGCCCATTTGTTTGATCCCTCCTGTCCCCCGCTGCACCCTCTGCAAAGGTTATCAAAGCTCCTCCAAACAGGGAACAGAAGTGCTCTCTATAAAGATACAGTACGACACAGCAAATTTATATTGGCACATTATGTTGGCAACTTTTTACACGCAACAATGGGCCCCGAAACAGTAAATATAGGCCACCTTTTTGAGAAAAAAGATTCAATACAAGCATTTTCCCTTCCAATTAGGATTAAGTTCGAGGCATGAGGTCCGTACATGTTGCGCAAGATGGCCTTTTCATTTAAGACTTTGCTCTCACAGTAGAAAGGACCGATACGGAGAGCTGCAGCTCTTACTTGGTATCATCTACTCCCCTACCCTGAGATCAAGTGGACAGAAGAAGTGTCTTCAGCACAGAGACAAAGGCCGATCTTTGATAAAGTGTTCGGACTTCAGTACGTGACAGTGTTCTGGTGGCTTAGCCGGACTTTACAGAAACAGCGGCCACTCTGAAGTGACGAGGGTTCAGGTTTGACCAGCTCATGGGGGACGAGTGCTCATTCCCCGCGTGAGGCTTGGCGTGCTGTAAAGGGCCCCAGCCTCTAGTCTTTTGCATAGAAACAGATAGGAGGGCCTGTTGGTGCCTGGTCAGGGGAGGGCTACTGGGTCAGGTTGAGGTGGAGGAGGTCATAGCGTAGCAGCTAGGCAAAGGGCAAGGGGGGGACAGCCTGCGGGCAAGCGGAGCAGCTTGGAGCAACAAACACCCACACCCCCGTCTGAGACACCCTATTTTTTTTTTTTCTTCTTTTTTATACATCTCAAGATACTACCTGGAAGTACTACAGAATACTGTTAAACACAAAAGCATGATCAGTTCAAAACAAATAGACAATCAATAACGCTCTGTAGTATTGATCCTCGTTTTGCATTCAATACACAGGATGAACATACAGAGGCACCTCTGACCAAAGTGTTTCTGCATATCAACAGTGAAGGGCTAGTTCAGCAGCCAGTATTTTGTAGACCACTGCATGTAGACAAAAAAACAACAACACAAGACATTGAGAAAAAAATCTCCACAAAGAATAAAAATAAAAAGAACACTGGCAAAAAATTCCAGAAATATGACTATTACATCTTCCAGCTAAAGTGATCTGTGTGTCAAAGAACTGAGAGCTGGGGGAGAGGACGGCAGCAGGGTTGGGTGGTGGTGGTGTTGGCAGCAGCCTCCCCCACCCCTCCCCCGCTGGAGATGCCGTGTGCGGCAGAGAGCCGTGATTCGCCGGTCTTGGAGGAGATGCATTTCTTCAGAGGGGAGGGTCAAGTGGAGCCCAGGAGGAAGTGCTGCGCTGTGGGGGGCTGCCGCTTGACACCCCGAGGACCACAGCAGAGAGGCACTCAGTGGACACTCCCCCCGCCCCTCCCCTCCCCACACCACTCCCGACTCTCCCACCGACTGACTGGCCGGCGGGTGTCAGAGACAGCTGACGTTTGCAAGTCTCGTGCCTCCAAACAGAACAAGGCTAAATATTTGGAGTAACAGTGATATTCACTTTGATATTGTTCAAAGAAGGAAAAAAACTGAACATAGACTGCAGTTTTTCACCAATGTCCAATGGTACATTTCAGTTTTGTTTCCCTTCATCCTGCTACCAGAGGAACAATGACACATTTCCAAGGAATAGATATAGTACATAAAAGAGCAGTTATTGGTTTTTTTTGTGTTGTTTTCAATGTTTATGCTGCTCCTTTTTTTTGATTCATTGGATTGCGGTTGAAGCGATTTGCTCTTCATAAGTGCTATGATAAAACCCTTTGAATTTATAAAAGTCTTAGTCTCTTCTGTTTGTACAGTACCAAACGCAAGGAACACTCGAAGGTCTACTGCATTAGGAGAAACCCCTCTTATTTGGTATTGTGCCAGATACACAGAACCATCCGATCCCACTGTGAGATTCAGTCTCTGTTGGATGTGGCTGTGGCATGCAGAGAGGAAGTGTGCATTATTGTGTCACTCTTTAGTACAGTTTGCTGCATGCACAGTTCAACAGCGGCTTCTTCCTCTTTGCAGAGTTTTTTCCAACAGTTTCAGGAGGACTGGCGGTCTGGAGGGAATCAAAGTTTCGAAAAAGGGGGGGGGGGGTAAGGTTTGTGAAGTTCCAATGTCTTTTGCTGCGATCAGCAACAATCACGAAAAACAAAATAGAAACCAGCTCCGGTGGACATAGAGTATGGACGGAAGAAAGGTCTATGGTGTATATTGCACAATGTAAGGTGAAATTGTGTTCTTTTTTTTTTGTTTTGTTTTCCTCCAAAAAACTGGCTGACCATACAGACCGCTGGGCTTCATAACAAATCGGACAATAGAAAATTCAACAAAGCACCAGTAAGCGACTGGGTTGAAGGTGACCAGAAGGATCTGGGCTTGCAGTGATTAGGTGCCACTGGACCTACATAGGCATGTACGGAACCAGAGACACGCAGCGAGGTTGGACAAATAATCTTCTCAGCTTATATATATTGTAGATATCAAAAAAAACGCGCTTGGGTCTAGACCTACAAACAAAAAAAAAAAAAAAAAAAAGAACATTTTTACAGCTGTGTCAATCCCTTTGAGAAACCAAAATAATTAAGCTGATGATTGGTAGGGCCAGTCACGTGGCCAGGACTTCTTACTGCCCAGCGACGGAGTTGGTCACCAGTCATGTCCTGTACCACTTGCTGGTTCAGAGGTGAAACTGTGCAAGATTTCAGCTATTTCTTCAGTTACAAAAAACAACAAAAGGCTGCTTGGGAAGGACCTGGGCCAGAGAGCACTTAAGGCTAATATTAGTGCTGAGAAACAAACGTTAACACAACTATTAAAGGTCTTTGAACCACATCATTGGCCATGGACATGCTGGGAATGGTCGTTTTAAGTCTTATTTGGGGATTTTTTTGTTTTTGTTTTTTTGGAGGGAAAAGGAAAGTCTCAGATGGCAGCTTTGATTGCTTCTCCTAACAACAGTCTTCAAAACAATTTCACACAGAATGTCATGTATACTTCTGGAAAAACTAAAAACACTTCAAAGGTTTCTTTGTATTGTGTCTCATTTCAGTTTGTTTTATACGATGCATTTCAAAAATACCAAAAAAGGTAAACCAAACAAAAAACGGACAAAAGCAAATCACAAGGACTGGAGTCTGCAGTCTGTGTGGTTGGGACTCCAGCCTTCGGATTCACAATTCACAGTTCAAATTGATACTGATTATCGCCACATGATTTGCTTGGGTTTTGCTCCTGTTCATATTGAATTTTTTTTTTTGTTTGTTTTGTATTTTTCTTCCCTCCCTCCCACCCACCACCAATGGCTTACGTGACATGGTGGTGGTTGGTTGGTTGGTTGGTTGGTTAGTTAGTGTATCGTGGCATCATCCTACATGGACTCTCCACTCAGCAGATCTCCAGGCAGCAGGGTGTTAATGGAGGTGGGGCTCCCGATCACACGGCCATCGTCTCCACTCGGCGGACCCCACAGGCTGGAGTAATGGGGCATGCCGCCCCACAGCAGGTCTCCCCCGTTGGACTTGCCTCCGCAGCCACCGCCGCCGCTGCTGCTCCACTGGCCAATAGAGTGGGACTGTGCTGCCCCGCCCATCCGGTTTTGATTGGTTCCTTGGTTGGCCTGCCAGCTAGTGGTGTTAGCCCCCAGGGACTGGCCTTGTGCAAAGAAGCGGTTCACCTCCTCCTCGCCGGCAAACTCCGCAAGGATGGTGGTGTTTCCAAGCACACACCTTTACAGAGGACAAAGGAGGAAACCATTAGTCTTACACTATTTCAACCAGAAACAATAGTTTTCATGTTATGAAGAGGTCTTCTTGAAGTAACAATGGGACAGCATATAGCTGACATACTTTCTAAACACACGGTACTGTTTTTTAGAGCTTTAACATGCTATTATGCTTTTTTGCGCCCTGCCATAACCACGTTTCGTGCTGCTGAAAAGTGGGTCACACAATTTGCATTTTGTTTCTATGACAACCAGCTGTAGTGGCAGCCACTATTAGCAAAGCAAAATTGGGGTCAAACCTTCGGCAATTAGAGATACAAAAAACAAAACAAAGTGACCTCAGACTGGCTCTGAGTTGGCGTTTCCTCCCATCTCAATTTGATTATTACAACAACAACAGTTATATTACATTACAGCTGACTCCAGCATGAATCACCACCTCCTCGCCCATGTGACAGCCCCCAAAAATAACATTGTCTGGAGCTGAGCTGTTGCAGCATGGGAAAACACCATTAGAAAACGGGAACATTAGGATTTCCCCAAGTGTTACCCATTTTTATTCTCTGTAACAGCTGCTTCACTGTAATATGAAAAAAAGCAGGAGAAGTTGGGGGAGAAAGGGTGAACGCTTCCTTCATTTCTGGTCGCTAAGCCCACTTTGGCTGATGTCAAAGACGTTGCTGAGGCTTACATGTGCAGAGACTTCTGGGCCTTTGCGGCCTCATCCTTGGAGCTGTAGCGCACCACGGCGTTCCCCTGGGTCAGGTTGAGGTGGAATGTGATCAGGGGGCCGTGTTGCATGCACAGGGTCCGCAGAGTCGAACCGTCAATCTGGAGCACAGCAAGAACACACAAGTTACAGCTAATATTTGAGTTTATCCATCAATATTACATGGTGGTTTCAGCCAACATTTATTTCCCTTACATGTTTTATATTTTTGTAGTTTATTGTTTATTCTTAGTACTGTTGTGCTGATATTTCCTCTGCCTGAGACTATTGATTTTATATCAAAGTGTTTTGTATCACACTTGCTAGAAGGCAAACTAAAAGTGCAGAATAATATTTTTTACATTTGAAGTATCCTACGTCCCCTAAACCGTCAGATGAGTTGTGTGAGACATGGCAATGGATCCATGACCAGATCTTTGAATTCCAAATAATAACATGCCAGCTTTACTGCTAATACATTGTGGCTTCAATCTAGTAAGAATTAGCAGCACAGAGTACGTACTTGTGGGGTGAGATTCCTCAGCACCAGCCAGCTGCTGGTCCTGTTGGGGCTGTCAGTACTCCAGGTGGTTCCCTCTATAACAAAAACGTCATATATAATGGTACGTATGAGAAGAAAGGTCGTAGAGCTACAGAGCTTATCAAGACAAAATGTTGTCAGTAAATTTGTTATTATTAGACCTTATAATAGAGCTCTTAAAGGGAAACTGTTCAAACTGTTCAGCCACTGTGATGGTTTTTCAAGAGGGCTTGAGGTGAGGGTTTAATCAACAGAGGAACACACCATCTGTTATCCATTTCCACACACATGATTCTTGTCTGACACTAATACAAGTAGTTCCTCTTCAATCTGCATGAACTTAGACATGTTATGACAAAAAAAGGTCACATATACGATGTTTGAATGAGGCTTCCTCACAGTGCCGGTAAACCTCAAGACGTCAGTTTCACAGGGTGTGATCCCCCAGACCGTAGATAGCGAGTGCTGCTGGTGCACGAATGCAGCTGTGAACTTCGGCACACCTACACATCTTCAGTCGGGTCTGTGTTTGCTGGGTGTGAAATACACCAAAGAGATCGACACCCGTTGCTTGTATTTTGGTGGAAGCTTGTCCTCAATTCAAGGCCATGTTGAAACGTCTTTATTTAATGTCATTGCAAATAACATATTTCGTGAATGGCTTTCAATTCTGCAATCTAAGAAAAAAAAAAAAGCTTAGCACCAACATGATGTTTGTTTCTTTTGTAATGAGGTTAATATATTTTAAAGAGATCTAGTCTTGGTAAGGAACTCAGGAGTGTCAATAGACTAAGCAATGTTTCCTGTGTATAGAATTTATGTTGCCAAATAATAAAAAAGATGCTACATCTTTCTTTTTTCTTATTTTAATTGTATGTTTTGAAATTGCAGGTTGGTTGAAAAGTGCAGAGGAACTGTGAATGAGTTTGTGACTGAGACAGATCTCAGTCGGTTAGGTGGCGCTAATAGAAATGAAATAAGTGCCTATTGGTTTACGAGAGTGCTCACCAGGGGCGTAGGAGCCGCTCCAGCCCTGGGACAGGCCCAGCGAGTTGCCACCCCAGGTGGAGGAGGGTTTGTTGTGGGCGAGGCCTGGTGGGGGCCGAGAAGGGGCTGCGTTGCTGCGCGGCCCCTGAGGGACTTTCCACAGCTCGTGGGACAAAGAGGCCTGGCCCTGGGAGATGGGCCCTGGGGACCAGGTGGACTTCATGTCAGACAGCTTTCCTGGGTGGGGACATCAAAGACAAAAAAATAAAAAATAAAATCAAATCAGTAACAGACGACGATGTGACGTTCCAACAAAGCTGGCTAAAAGGCTTCCAACAAGGCACTTATGTTCCTGTGTCACTTACTGGTTAGGCTAATGCTAACGGTAGCTTCAGTGGGTTTCAATTTTTCTTAACGTATTTAAATTCAACAAATATTTTTGACACCAAAACATGCCAAAAAAAAGTTACATACTTGTCCACTAACAATGTGCACTGCATCCACCCGAAAGCTTTCTGCTGTGAAAGTGTAACACAAATACCTGCTGAAGTGAAAGTAGACACTACTTCCAACCTGTATATATTTGAGTTTATTTTTCAGTTTCAAGTACCGCTTTTCTGACTTCCTTCTAAATTAGAGTAAATGCAAAAAAACAAGAAGAATAGTGTCTGAGAACAGTCATTTTAAGAAACACATCTCAAATGAAATACTCATTATGCAGAGACCTGAACTCTTGCGATTATGGAAAAATCACACACAAAAGCACCCACACAAACACAGGGTGTGTACTGATATCATGACCGGTTGGGGCGAGGCTTGTTTTTTTTGCGGGTTGAGTCAAAGAGGAACAGATGGTTGAAGGTCACGTGTAGGTGAGGTACTGAGGGTGCAAGTTTAGGTTTGACTTGGAGTAAAAGAAGGGTCATAAACACGGGTCAGGGGTTGGGTAAGGTTTAGGATAAGTAGGGAGCCTAAGACAGTGTTGTATCAGGGCTCCAGTTTGGATGGAAAGAGGTTTTGGCAGGTCCACACATTGAGGGAAGATACTCTGGACGTGTACCTGAGCCGCCTCCATCAGAGGACGAAAGAGACTGAAAAGAGCTAGAGTAGCCACTGACTGGCCAGTCGTTGCTGCTTGGAGGCAGAGAGTCATTCTGAAGTGGCAGAGCTGGGGAAGTGGCTATGTGGTCGTATAGGCAACAGTGTTGTGACCAGAGACAGTGAGAAAAAAAAAAAAAAAAAAGAAGTAACTTCATGTATGCATCCGAACAAAGCACATGATACTGGGGCAAGAGGTGTAGATAGTAACATGGGTCAGCACGTCTAAAGTGAAGTAACTAACATCCGATTCGACTCCTGGTTGTCTTAAATGAATATTTGTTGTCCTTGCTTCTGTTCATACCTCCATTCCTGTCCCGCAGCAGGTATCGGTTGACGTCGTGGATGTTTGTGTTGATGGTGGGACCGCTGGGGACGCTGCCAGGGGTCATGTTGGGATCATTCTCGGGGTCGATGTTCTGGAGGCCCTTCCATGGCACACCTGGGCAGAACTCTACCGGAGCAAAACGAGGTGCTCGATTAAGGGTTATGAAAGCAAGAAGATTAGATCTTGAGGAACTTTTTCACCATCTCATGACTTCCCCACTGTTTGAGCAATACACACAGGCCTCTGAGCAACTGCTTTCTTCATACTTATTCTGATGCAACTGGTGTATATAAATATTAATTAGTCAGTTCCTTTTTTTCCCCCCGTTGTTGTGGCAGCTTTAGCATTGTCTTTTGAACTTGTGTAGATTTTCAGGGTGTATGTAAAATCTATGTGGGTGGCGTATAAAACTAAAATATTAACCTTTTTGTGCATTTATGACTTCCTCTTTTATTTAATTTGGATCCCCATTAGCTGATACGGTATTACAGTCGCTGCAGGTCTTGCTGAGGACCATGAACTAGATTTTCAAATGTCCCAGTGGAATTGCAGTTGACCACAGGCTGTTTTCACGGAGGACATTTTGACACGTCACCGTAGGAAAAGTCAAAATAATCAAAGGAATAATGTCTGAATTCCATTTTAGCCGCTTCATTCTCAGGGCCCAGGTATTGTGCATGCTGGCTCACAGTCACACTTGACTTACTTTTGTTTTCAGTATCACTACTGAAAATGTAAAGCATCAAAAGGCCCTGTACAACTACAGAGAAGTTTTCAATTACTCAAGCCCATTCAACCTCTAGCTGGGTGAAGCTTTTGTGGGAATTATATGATGTCACAAAACTATATATATTTTTCAATAAGAATGATAACACGGCATGCTGTCCCACCCTAATGGGTGCGACTAAAACTAACAGCGTGAGCTTTAAGAAGAGCTCTAATTAGGAAACATAGGTGAAAACACCTGTGTGGGTGGATGTGTAGCAGCTTGAGAGGCTATCTATTTGGATCTTGTCCTCACCTGGGGGCCAGTTAATGTTGGTCCCATTGGGGATCTTTTCATTGGGGCTCTTGCCCTGGCCCCAGCTGTCTGGGGGCACCATGGGGCTGGTGGGGGACTCAGAGCTGGACATTAGATTGTAAGGGCTGTATGAGTCCTCCAGATGGGGGGGCTTCCCGGGGGGGCCCAGGGTAGAGGCAGCAGCTATGGCACCTAGGATATGCAAAGACAAAAACTGAATGAAATTGAACTTAGTTTTACTTCATAAAGAGGACAAAATATATGAAAATACTCTCTTAAACTCATTCTTGCTCATCCCATAATCAGCTTCGACATTAATGTTATACATTTGCATAGAAGGTCTTTTCTGAATAACATTGCATTGGTTGTGATGTCTACTGTAAGATTATCTGCGTGTGTAGCGATGCTCTGGATGTCTTTTTAAGGGCGTCAATACATAATACATGGAAGGCAAAAATGGACTTTAAGATGAGTCTTATCTCAGCACAGGTTTGAATACAGAAGGCGTGGAAAGAAATGGCTGATGATATCTCAAAGTGAAGGGGTCAACAAGTTGGTGTCAGTTAGTGTTAGCTAGTTTCTCTACTTAGAACAACATACAAGCCAAATGTGGTTTGGCAGATGCTTAACACCATGCCTGTGTGTTCTACGTATGAATGTACTTTGATACCACACTGCCCCAAATATAAGAATTTTTGATATTATATTATATTCAAGGACTTAACATTTCCCTGCTCCCAGCTTAGACAATTTGTGGTGTCAGCGCTCCCATTCAGGGGAGGAGGGGTTTAGCAGGTCACGCACCTCAGTTATTATTGAGCAGAAAAACTGAAAGAGCTTGAGCGGCTTTTGTCTTAGCGAGAATGAGCTTTCAGTCAGAATGTGTGAAAACAAGAAACGCACAGAGAAAAGGCTGATGGGGAATGCGAGTGCAAACGAGCTAGTGTCAGCAAACCAGTCTGAGAAGCTCACGTGTGGGAGGGCGGGTGGCTGACCGATTACGATTGGCAAAGGTTTACGGTACTTACGAAAGTTACTGTCATTATCGAGTTACCCAAACTTTTCCATCAAAGCTGTATTCAAAATAAGTCTTGAATAAGCTATGAACCATGAACACATTTTCGAAGTCCATCCATCTCTCCTCTACAGAAAAGAACTGTTGAATCTACTGAAATAAATTACATTTTTCTTGAAATTCAAATCAATGCTGAAGGATAGCTGCCATTGTACAACATTGGCTGCCTAGTGGTAGTTTACAATACAACATATGTGCAGTGGGGGCCATCCAGAATAATGTGTTGTTCTTCGTCATACCGTGCTTATTGAGGTTGTTCTCCATGTTTGAGGAGTTGCAAGAGAGGCCGTCCATGGAGTTGGAGTGTGTCCACTGGGACAGGCGGGATTGGGGCTGGGGGGGCTCCTTCAGGGACATACCCCCAACCTCCATGCAGTTTACATTCATGTTTGGATTTAGTCCAGCTGCACACACAGAAAAGGAATCTTTTAAATGTATCCATCATATATATATAAGTCAGTGGTAGACGATTTCTGTTTAAAACTCCAGTAGCTCAAAACAAAACAGGAAAATACGCAATAATATGTTGTCAGATGTCCAGATTGAATACCCTAAATATGAATTTGCATGTATTTCTATGGACTGTTTCTCGTTGGACGCACTCACTGAATGAATTGTGGGTGGCCACGCAGTATGGTACGAGTACAAATTTATGCATGACAAGGTTACCACCTCAAGGGCTGCAGAGGAAAATGACTATTCTCAACAAGCCAGCTACTATTAGTACGTTTCAAATAGTTTGAACAAAACTCACAGAGAGGGTAGGTGCTGTAGGCGTTGGGCGAAGACGGCGGCTCTTTGGTGTGCAGTGTGTCGGCTAGGCCCGGAGCCTGGTGTGGGCCTGCGTAGGGGTCGTGGGTTGATTTGCCGGAACCATGGCCTCCGGAGGGGCCACCGGGGGGATGCAGACCAGCGGAGGAGGAGGAAGAGGAGGAGGAGGAGTGAGAGGGAAGTTGCTGCTGCTTCATCAGCAGCGCTTGGTACAGCTGACGCTGGTGCTGCTGGATCTGCTGCTGCATGTTGGTGATTGTACGTGCAACCTGGCAGAGAGGAGAGGCGGTGTCACAACAATGTGTCATAGAAGAAGCTTTGAGCAGTGAGGGGGCAGGAAAACAAGAAGATTATAAAAATAAGGAAAAGATAAAAATGATGATCTGAGGGTATTGAACAATGCGTTATGGAAAGTGGAGGAAACGGTGAGAAGGAAGCACAAAAGCACCGTCTCTTTCAATAGGCTGTTTTCTTGCAGCACGCTGCTGATATCTGTCGAACAAAAGCAACTAACATTCTAAAAGAAAAGGAGAACATGCCGTTTAATATGCCGGCTCATGTTAAACGAGAAGTAACCGGTTCTCATGCCGTTCTCTTACAATTTGCGTAACTCCTCTTGTAACGACGCAGGATGTTTTTCCTCTGTTGCCATAATGTTATCATGTGAGAATCATATTTGTGTAATGATGCATTTGTGGACTCACTTGCTGTTCTTGTTGTCTAATGGGGCCGGAAACATTGCGTTGCGCCTGCATCATCTGCTGCTGGATTTGTAAACGCTGGTACGCCTAAATGAAGGGAACCAAAAGCACAACACAATGATTAAAACAATACAGTGATAACGATCAAATAGACACATTCTTAATTCTTCATAGGATGTTAGTTAGTCAATATAAATCATATTTTGAAATTGTTTGCCTGGTTTTATCTCCTTTAAATTTAGATTTAGGGCCCTAACACACATTCTCTGCCTCAGACCTAAATACAGCTGCTAATACAGATGGAAGGAGGGACTCTGACTCACCATTTGCAGTTGCTGAAGTTGGTACAAGAGAGTCATTTGTTGAGGGTTTATTGGTGAGGTTAAAAGTGCAGGGTTCAGACCAATGTTTTTTGCTGCAAACTGCAAGAGCTGTGCTTGGACCTTGGGGGGGGAGACACAGAAAGATGGCAAGTTAGTCATTGCAAATCATAACCACTGTAAAAAAGCAGCTTCTGACAAGGTAAAGCGAGTCACTGCTACATGCACGCAAGGAGGAAAAGAGCGGAGGAAGGGTCCGCCAGAGGAGTCGTGTAAAGCAAAGAGGTTTTGACAGGCATGGTATGTGGTTCCCATTTTCTTTGGTGGTGGTGTTTATGTGTGCCAGATAAAATGTATTTTTTCTGATTTATTTCTGAAAATTCTAAATTGTCAACAAGTATGATGTAGAGATGTCACAATATACAAATTATCGATTTAACGTCTTTCGTGATTATTAATCAGAATATTTTTTAATATAGCTAATGAAGTTAAGTATGTATTATCATTATCAACTATATCCAGTTAGTTTTTATAGTGTAAAATAATTATATGAGGCTATACAGAATGTAGGCTACACACAGAGAGAGAGCGAGAGCGAGAGAACAGCAGCCCCACCTACAGTCCTCCTCAGTTGGTATTATAATATCAGAGTAAGATTTCATAAGTACCAGGCAAGTCCTTAAGAACACATTTTTATTAACAATAAGATCTGCCAGCCATCTTTTATTTGGTCTGTCCCACATTAAATAGGTACATGGTTAAGTGTGTGTATCTACCTGAGGGGAGAGAAACTGAGGCACTTGAGCACGTAGACTAGGCTGGGAGGAGCTGAGAGGTGGCACTGGTGGCTGAGGAGGCTGCTGCTGCTGCAGCATCGCCCGGGTTTGTGCTGCTCCACTACTGCCAAACATTCCACTGGGTATCTATAAGCAGGAGTCATAAAGGTACACTGAAACGTCTTCAAAACCTTCCCGTTTATTCAAACCACTGTGGACATTTCCCACCGAGTTGGGAAGACATGTGTGCATACTTGGCCACTCCAGCAAACAGAATACCTCAAGAGGAAGGATAACATCCAACTGTCAAGCCTTTGTGAATTTAATGAGTTCATTCAATACATGAATGAGAGCGCTTGAATTGGATGGAAATAAAACGTTTGGGGACTCAAAGCACCTAAAGCATGAGTCTATGATATATCCCCAACATAGCAATGTTAAAAACATATTTTAAAGCATTTTCCTTCAAGGTCTAACTTCACACTACTACTTGTTCACCAAAGCATACTGAAGAGTCACAGGGCAGCTAGTCGTAGACCATGGAATTGTTACTATTTGATCTATTTTACCATTTATCAAATGGCCTCATCCACATTTCGGATTCCATGTTGTTAAAAAGGTCTTTATATTCAGTGCAAAAAAAAGGCCTTTGTTTGGGCTTCAAGGACATACTGTAGTTATTCTGGGCCATGACTGCCTCTGGAGGGTGAAAACAACTATCTGATTTCAAAAGGCACTTCAGGCAAGGTCAGACAAATAAGTGAGCAATAGAAAAGTGGAGATTTGGGAGTGCATGTCGGTAGAGATGTAGGTGTGTGTAAAACTACTTAAATTCATCAGTTGGTGCTATCCCTGCATCATATACAGTGAAATCCTGCACATGCTGCTGAATTCCAAAATAATGCTTATGTATTTGCAGTGTGATAAACAGACTGTTTTGCACTGCATATGTTCTGGTAGCACAATCTGTCAGCATGTTCTCTTGTTAATAAAATATAATGATGCATGTTGCTGGTGCAAATTCGCTATCCATTTTGGAACTATAAACTCTGATTTATACTATACATTAAAAGAGAGGGAAAATAACCATTTCACAAAATATATATACTGTTCTATATATATTATCATAAAATGCCCACAATCTCAACTTTGTAATATGCACATGCAGTTCACAGTTTTTACTGCATGTTTATCATTTGGATTGTGTAAGTTTTGTGTTTAAACATTTGTGTTTCTGTTATTTTTCAATTTGTTACCTGTCTGTTGTTCAAGTTTTGCATGGCCAGCCCCGGGTTGCCCTGTCCCAGACCCTGCCCGGGAAGGCTACTGTTGGCCAGGGGGAGCTTCAAGCTGGGGGAAGGCAGAAACGGTGATGAGGGGGCATCATCTGACAGACCACCATCCTGGACCAGAGCAAAATAAATGGTTAATTGGGACAATAAAGCACCTCAGAATAGTTACAATGTAAAGGTAAAAAAGGTAAATATCCCAAAAGATTAAATGTAAAACCACTTTTTTTTTTACTACACTCATCCTTTCCAACAGATTTTTGGAAAGGGCCTGATTGCTGGTCAGTTGCTTAATGTCTGACCTTGTCAAGAAAGGAAGTGCGGTCGGAGGGGTCTTTGGAGAGAGCAGAGGGCCGACACATCATGGGTTTGTTCATGCCGTTGCTGTAATCAGACATGCCCATGCCCCGCTTGTCCAGGTCCGTCTTCTTCTCCAACAGGGCGCCTGGGAGCAGAAAAGAGTAGAGCGGACTTAAGTATAGTCAAGCAAATATACAGCGTCACAAAATGCAATGATAATGTTTTTATGCATTTGATTGAAAGAGACGTCATTTAAATTAATTGAGGTGGAAATATGGCAAAATAATATAATTCTGATCTTAATTCCACGAAACGTTGAGTCATGTTAGCATTTTGCAATACACACACAAGGACACAAATATGTTGTGAACTTACTCATGGCCTGGTCAAGGTTCATGTTGTTGCTCTTCAAAGCCTCCTCAGCAGGGTCTCTCTGTAACACAAGGATAACATGAGCCTGTCACTGACCATGGTTTAATGGAGTTTTCCCTTTTTAACAGCTTTCACGAGTTTAGATGGCTATATTTATTATTATTATTATTATAATCATTATTATGGTATAATCCCCTCCTTAATTGATTGTGTATGTTCTCAGGTGTTTCTGCACCGTTAATTAGAGGATCCTGTATCTAATCCAAATTTTAGAAATTTAAAAAAGGTGGCACATTTTTGGCTTGGTTGGGGGAAGAAAAAAAACAAAAAAAAAAAAACTTGAACTTACCGGAAAGCCCATGTCAGTGAGCTGTTTGATGAGACGGTTCATGATCCAAGCTTCATCTGGCTTGCCCATCTTACCCTGACAGCACACAAGCAAAAAATATTAAATTATCATTTAAATGACATTTATTCCTACCATTAACATCTGCTCGTATATTTATGACAAGAGAGAAGCGTGTTCTCTGACCTTGCTCGGGCCCTTCTTGGGTCCGTTGCCCCAGGAGTTGCAAGAAGAGCTGCTCTCCTGGGAGGTGGGGCTGTTCCACATGTCCCCATCCTCAGCATCCCATTGGCTGTTAGACATGCCCATCTCCTCTCCTCCATTTCCCCAGCCATCTTGCATAGGTTTGGGACCTGTGAAAGTGATGAAATAACATATTAATAACAGCGATAAGCATTTAGTTGGTTATCTGTCAGGGTGTTTTAGTATCTGTGACGTGTCCTCCATGCACGTTGAGAATAGAGAAGCTATTTCTGCGGGTGAGAAAAGTGTCATTTTCAACCTGACCACTTGGTGCCAGTGTTGCCATTTGACATGCTGCATTGTCCGCCCCCATCTCCCTCTACCATTTCCAACATTGCAAACCAACTGCACAAATAACCAAGACCTACTGAGGTGTGGAATTGCTTTAATCCCAGCAACACTACAGTAGCACTGACAAAAAACCTTCTTAATTGCCATAAATGATACAGGTCTTTTGTTCCCTGAACTGGAGTGAGGTGGTACACACATACTAGGAGTAACCGTCAATCAGCCTTCTACAGGTACTGCATCCTGGTATATGTTTACTTCCCATGTTTGACATAATACACCACTGTCCATGTAAATCGTGTGTGGGTGTTACCTGGTTTGCAGGCTGAAGAACCTGTGGGTCCGTTGGCCCTGCCATAGGGTCCAGAGGACTCGTGGCCACCGTCTCCCCATCCTGCTGGGGGCTTGCCCCAGGCAGAGGTGCCATTGTCCACAGATGATGCCGGAGCGGCTGGCTCTGCCCAAGCAGGCTCTGACTTGGGTTGAACACTGGGAAGTTCTCCCCAACCTGGAAAAAAGAAAAAGAAAAAAGGAGGTGGATTAGAAAATAGCAATTTTTACTTTTAACTTGCAATTATACGGCATTTCTCCAAAGTCAGTCCTTGAGTATTTAACAATGGAAGAAAGATCCCAAGTAGTAAGAGTTTGAATTGAAGACCTTGAAATCTATTATATTGTATTATAGTCATGCATAAATCAGATCTCTTTTTACCAAAAACTATATTATGATAATCTAAGCAACTGAAAACCACAGCACTGTAGTGGCACGCTAATAAGAGAGACCAACAGTAAGCTTTCCAGTTAAGATAGTGCCGTCCTATCTCCTGACCACAGCAAGCCCTTGACAAGCTCAGTCTGATTAGGTGATTAGGTAAAAACTGATCAGCACAAATGTGTCTTAAGGTGGCCATGATGCCTTTTGCTAGCGGCACTGCAATTGGTAAACAGCAGGGGGCAATGGTTTCATTCGCAATCAAAAGGAGAGGAGAATGCTGGGTGTTGGAGCTGTGCCATCTCTTTAGGCATGGCCTTTGTCTTCAAACAGACCTATTTGAACTGGCTGCAGAGTCTTGATTATGTATGCGTGACCATTAAGAGGCCTTAAATACCTCCAACAGTATCTGCTTAGTAATCACTGAGAGAATTATTTTAAAGAATAATCTTTGAATGGAACAACCATTGATGCTTTTAATTAGTAATTGTATCACTTTGTGTGTCAATGAGTGAAAACAACTGTTTAAGCAATCGTCTCTCCACATATTTAATTTCAACTCCTTATCAAGACAGACTCTGAGGCGTAATATGATTAAGTAAAACATACGCATGCTGTCATATAAACACTTTGGATCCCTAAAGCATGAGGTGTTTAGGTTGTTGGGGTTTTTTTCAGGAAAATCTTCTTGATACATACATACTGCATTTTCTGAATATCAATCATTACTTTAATTTAGGTTTTTAACACAACAGCACTGTCATGCTGTGTTACCTGGGTTGGCGAGCGGGGGTCTACCCTGGGGGCCCGCACCTGGATGTGGGGGGCCATTGTTGGATGACCCATTGTTGTTTCCATGGTGTTGCAGGTGAGCTGGGGGCTGGCCATGATGGGGCTGGCCATGATGGGGCTGGCCATGATGGGGCTGGTGGTGCATGTGGTGAGTGTGATGGTGATTGTTGTTGCCAGGGCCGACAGAGTGATTGTTGTTATTGTTGGGGATAATCCCTCCACCACTCTTACTGGGCGGTGGGCCGCTGTTGCCTGGGTTGTTATTGGGACTGGTGCGATCCCACATGTTGACAGTCTTGGAGTTTGTGCCAGGATTGCCCCAGGTGGACGTTCCATCGTCAATCTCAATCTTCCTGCGGATAGAGGGAGGGGAGGGCTCTTCCCAGCCAGTGGGATCCATGCCTTGGTCCGGTTTGCTACCATTTCCCCAGCTCGAAGAGTTCTGCTTCACAGTACCAGGACCACCCCATGAACCCATGCTGCCACCTCCTCCGCTGCCAGTGCTGCTGCTGCTGCTGCTTTCCTGGGGCTTGGAAGAGCCCCAGCTCCCCTGCACTGGGCCGTTTGCACGAGGGATCTCCCCCCAGCTGCTATTACTCGCAGCAGGAGCAGGCTTACTCCAGCCTCCTCCATTTCCTCCCCTGGGGCTCTCCTTCCATCCACCACTTCCTCCATTACCTCCTTCTCCTTCCCACAGGCTGCTGGATGATCCATTCTTCTTGACCTCCGCCTCTCCCCACTCCCCTGTGCTCGGGCCGTTGGAGCCGCCGTTACTGTTGCTGGCGTTACCGGCGTTACCGTTGCCGGTGTTACCGTTGCCGGCGTTACCATTGCCCCATCCATGGGAGCTTTTGGGGCCCTCTCCCCAGTTAGTCGGCTGACTTTTCGTCGGGCCATCGTTCCAACTGGATGACTTTTCTTCAGAACCCCAGGATGGTGTGCCTCCATTTCTGGGACCATTTTGAGGCAAAGGGTCACCCCAGCCACTGGTAGTGCCATTCGGCGCTTTGCTGTGTGACTGTGGGGGATCCCCCCATCCTGATCCAGTTTGGATAGGCTGAGGCGGAGGGGCTCTCCAGCCAGAGGATGATGATCCTTCACTGTCACTTTTTTCTCCAGACCTAGGCCTCTGACTGGGGCTAATTTTCGGGTTGATGGTACCTCCATTGATGGATGAGGGTCCAACATGAGAGCTGGGGCCTCCTGTAGAAGCTGAGCTGCTTTTGCTCTTCCCTTGATCCGAGTTGGCTTCTTCCATCTCCCATACAGTGTGCTGTCGGATCGGGGTCTGTCCCCAACCCGTGTTACTAAGCACCCTAGGGTCCAGGTCCTGCCGGGGTAGCAGAGGGGTAGAATCCGTACTGGAGGACCTGTCTCTGCAGCCAGACTGATTTTCGCTGCTTTCCCCACTACCGTCGCTCGCTGGGGCTGTTCTGGGCTGCTGGCCCCATGAGCTAGGTTGTTGCTCTTGGCCTGAACCAGAGCTACCAGCATCTACTGAGTCCCAGCCTTTAGATGCATCTCCGCCGCCAGAGGATTTCCCCCAGTCGTGCCAGCCACCACTTGAACTACTCCCACCGCCACTGCCTTGCCGGCCCCAAGCAGAATGGCCTCCAGAGGGAGTTGAGTCCCAGCCTGAGTCCTTGGGAGAGTCAGCTGCCTTGCTTTCTCCACTACCCCATACAGAGCTGCCTGTTGTGTCCCCATTGAGCTGGGATGATTCAGTGGGTGACTGGCCTCCCCAGCCAGTTATCCCATGGATAGGGCTCATAGGCTCCTGAGCTTGCTGCTGCTGCTGCTGCTTAGTGTGGTTTGGTCCATCAGTGTTAAGGTTAGAAGGTTCCATTTTGAAGGACATGCTTGTGTTAGTTGAAGGGTGCTGTTGATCATTTTCATTAGCACTTATCATGCCACCCCAGCCTCCCCCGCCATTATCGGCACCTCCCAGGCTCCCATTTGCCATGTTTCCATTGCCATTAATACCTGGTGGGAGGGATGGGGAGTTTGACACCGCATTGGGGCCAATACCACAACCTCCAACACCCTCCTGGCCCAGAACAGGCCAAGCTGATGGGTTGGCATTGGGATTGAGGTTCAAGTTAAAATTGGTAGAGCCCCAGTTATTGGGAGCCCCTACTCGACCGCCATTCATACCATCTTGTTTTCCATCTGAGCCCCAGCCTCTACTACCGCATGTGTTGGCTGACCCAGGTCCCGTCATCATGTTATTGTTGGCTTTAAGAGAGGAGTAGTGGGCCTGCTGGCCTGCGGCACCTGTGGCCATTCTCAGAAAACTATTACTACTGGTGGTAGTGACAGCACTTGTGTCTTTGTTAGAGCTGGCTGAGCCCAAGGAGCATTCTGGTGCTGCTAGGTGGCCGAGGTCACTACTGCGGCTGATTGAGGGCCAAGCTTTTGTGTCACTTCGTGTGTCAGTAATCACTTTGTCCCAGCTGTTGGCACTGGAGGAGCTGTCAACTTGCAAAGAGTGTCCCCAATGAGAGGTCTCATACTGGGCAACAGAGCCACTCTGGAGGGATATGTCTAAAGAGAGAAGGGAGACAAAAAACAATGGTTGAGTGAAACAAAGAAATACAATACAGAAAGTAGGTGTAGATGATGAGTCAGTCAGAGAGAATTCAAGAGGAAGATGCAGCAATGCAAAAAAAGAAAGAAGAGATTGACTAACAGGAGTAGAGACAAAGGGTAGAGAAAATAAAAAGGGATTCAAAAAGGGGATGGGGAAAGAAAAAATACATTAAGTTAGACTAAAGAACATCATGTAACACTGCCGCCGTAAGTCCCCGGACCAATTTTATCTTCTTGGTTGGTTAATGCTAGCAATCAGACTCCTTGGCAGGAAATGGTCACTTGCAAGTTCCACAATCCAACACATAATCAAAATGCACAGCCAAGCGTGCCACATGTCACATTAGCTTTGGCATATCCATATATCCTTGCCCTGGTGCAGTCGGCCAAACAGAAACAGGGAGATGGAGCCCTCTCTCTCTCTCTTTCCTTTATCCATCTTTCTTCCCTCCCAACTTTTCCCCCCCAACTTCTTTCTCCAACTCCTTTCCTCTTCCCTAGCCGTCTTGTCTATGCCCCTTACATCCCTCTCACTAGCAAGCTGCTTCTCTTCCCCCTTTTCTCTCTCTGTCCATGTCTCCCCTCTCTTACCTCACCCTTTAATTCCTCCCTCTCTCCCCCCTGCTCTCTAACACCCAGCAGTGAGAGGCCCATCCGTCTCCATCGTGGCTTCACTGGCTGGGGATGTGAAGGGAAGCCCAAGTGGAACGCCGCTCATTTATTGGAATGAAACCAGGACGGCTTCTCATTCATCACTCCCTACGCCCCGCCGGGCCTACTCCTCCTCCAGCCGCACCACACGAAGACACCACAAAACACTTCCTCCAAGCCTGTGTGAACACTGGATTTGTGTGCTCGTCTGCCAGCTTCTCACTACCTGCAAATACATAATAATGCGTATGCGTGTGGATAAATATTTGATCACAATCAGGGAAGGACTGCATCTAAATCTTGTCCTACTACTTAAAGGCTTTAAGCACGATTAAGAAATTCAATAGCACACTACCAAAAAACTGAGCATTTCCAACAATTCTCTTATCAACATGGTATCGCACACAAGCACTTTCATTAGGCACAAAAGCATCTCATTAGAGGGGGGAGTAATAATAGACTGATTCAATGCTGTAAAGGGGTAAGCAATCAGTGGGAGGCAGCTAATCAATGATCTTATTAATGCCAGTGGGTGAGAGCAGGGAGGGTATCGATCCTGCATGCTAACATCCTAACCACTAGGCCTCAACTGCTAGAAATCTGAAAAGTGCACATGCCAAGGCAAGGGTATGAAGGGAGAAATTCATCCAAGCAATGAACAAAGACATGATGCCAAACCATATCCAATGAAAGCAGTCATTTTTAATAAGCATTAGAAGCCTACTAGACAATAATACATCTCTGGCTACCCTCCTGAGCAGCTGCAGTAAGCGTGGCTCACTAACCTTTAATTAGAAGACCCAGGCTGGGTTTGTAAAATATTTGCCCTGTTTGGTAATTAAGCTGTTTTACCTTCCATTACTCTTGCTATTAGTTTCCATCAGATTGTTGCAGTGATTTCCATAATAGCTATACGTTATCCATCATGAGATAAAGACCCAGTGGTCAAAACAATCCAGTCAGATGAGGGAAGAGTCAGTTTGAAAAACACTGGCAGATATGTGGCTTTAAGATACTGCGCAACATGCCACAGAGTGGCTGCGAATGCAATTTTCGCCTGAACATGCTTATCTCCACTCCCCAGGTAGACTTATAGCTGTTCAGGGTCGTCAGACTGATGGTGCGCTCACACACACACACACACACACCACCATAAAGTGATCCCTCACAACTGTTGTGACCGTGCCAATTGGTTTGGAGGAAATTTAGGAGTTGTTTGAACTTAAAAACAAGACAGATGTGAGCCTTCAATGAGGAAGCTTCAACTGGACTTTTTATCAGTTTTTTTTCTCTGCCATCTGATAATAATTTGAGCTTGAGAGTCAAGGCGACGGCCTAATTTCAGTTTGCATGACAAATGTCCAAGTAATGCTTTCACACAAACATTCCCAAGCAAACTTTCATTCTTAAAAAGTGGAGAGGAAAAAAATAGTCAGGCAGAAACTGCCCGGTGCCCAAAATACAGCAAGCTGAAGTGAATTAAGGACTAATTTTGGGAGATATTCAAGGGACTTGGAAAGAACTGAACTATAGTATTCATTGAACAGATGGGTTAAAGACATTCCAATTGTTGATTAGGTGTTTTGACATGGCGGGATAGTCATGCTATGAATAATATTCTTTCTCTACAATTTTCTTAGTTAGCGCGTGCATGCTTCCCACCCAATGAATTTGTAAAGAAAGGAACAAAACCAAAACAGCCGGTCCTTTACCACTTCAAACCGTCAGAGGCTTGTAGGTGTTTTGTTTATGGTGGCATCATTAAAAAGCCACTGACGTTACCCCTCTTTCCATTTTAGTCCCAGCTCTGTCAATGCCTGGAAAGCAGCCATACTTTTATCACGCCTGTCACAGACACTGTGGACGAGCCAAATTCCAAGCAGTAAAACTCACATAAAACAAAAAGGACAGAAAAAGGGAGTGCGTGGATGAAAAGGGGTCAGTCAGGGAGAAAGCGAGAGAGCCACTCTCAGAGTGCTCACACAGATATCCTCTTAGTATGTCTGAGAGCTAACTACCCACCAGTACACTGCTGCTACTGGCAGGCCGAGCTTGTATTAATAGCATCTGCGGTGTGTGCAGGCTTTTGTGCAAACTGAGTGCAGTGCAAATAACGTGGGTAACAAAAGGGGAGCAGTATTAGCTCCACAAAGGGAGTATTTATCGCTGGACTATTGCATTGTACTGTAATGGATGCTAGTGCTATTGTGTAAATATGAACACATGTGGACTAATGCAAACCTCAACATGACCCGATTGTTCCCCTTTCGACTCCCGCAGACATGCCAATAGAAAGGTCTGCTGATTCTTGGGAAAGTCTTGATGTAGCATTTAGCTGGGGGGGGGGGGGGGAGAGACAGCAACAAAAAAGGGGACAATTATTGCCCATCGACCATTTGCAACCATGTGTCAGTAATGTGTTGCTGCTTCCACTCTGGTAGCAATTAGGAGGGCAGTCTCCTGTTAAGCTTTGTGAATGAAAAAAGGGTCAAAAATAAAAAAAACTACGGGGCCCTCTATGGCTCCTCATGCTTCCAACAGGGAGCAGGGCTGCTCAGATACAGGCGTGTTCTCTTCAGAGAACCTGGACTGCAGCTAAATAACAGAAATACGCAAGAAGATGAGCTTCTGATAATGAGACTCGCTGCCATCAGAGATAGGGGCAGGTAGCCAAGAATTAAATGCCTCGCCTCCCCTTTGAATGAAATGAGAGGCAAGGTGACATGAAGAGAGAGGGAGGTAGGGATAGATCGAGGGATAGTCTGGGGGGGGGAGGTGTCGGCACTTGCAGCGGCGTGGGAAAAGAAAGGGAGACGGTGAGAGAAAACATGAACAGACTATGAGATACAGTGTGGCAATAAAATGGAATCCTCCGTTTGACGGTGAGCCGAAGGCTTCACTCGGTTTCCTCGGCACAAACCGCCGGGTGATGCAAGACCAGAACGAGAGCAGGAGGGGATGTTTAGGAGCCTTTTGTCCTCATATAGACCCTCTCCGTCTCCCTTTGAGGGGCGCTTTACGCCCCCCTCGTATCAAAGACGGCATACTTGTTTTTCCGGAAGCGGGGAGGAATAGAAAGACTGAGGAAATGGTCACAGGAGGCTTTAAAAAGCTCATTATTCATGTCTGTTTACCTCTGCCGAGAGAAGAGGAAAAACAGGAGAGCGAGACCATGGTGACTTCTCCGGTTTCCCTGACAGAGGCTGGATTAATTAAGCCACTAGGGGGTTCTCTCACTTGTGTGTGTGTGTGTGTGTGTGTGTGTGTGTGTGTGTGTGTGTGTGTACACACATGGGGCAATCTATACCTCCCTGGCTTCATTAGGGCCAAGTGCTCTTGTGATTATGATTTTAAAAACATACAAGATCTAAGTGGGAGTTATTTTTACATCTTAATGGTACCATGTTTGAAGAGGCAGGCCTATATGCCCGTGAGAGGGTACTTGAAGAACATTACACGATTTCTTTTATGAAAAGCAACACTCCGTTCCACATCCACACTGAGCATTTAACTTAAATAAGAGATACTTTAAAAAAAAACAAAAAAAAAAAAAACAGCTTTACCTGCAGATCAAAAGGGCCCAAATGAAAGGGCCAAGTGTTTTAACAGTGCCCAGCAGAGTGCCTTCTGGCTGCATTCTCTGTCTGGGGGACCAACAAACAGCTGTTGGGCCGCAGTTCCCACAGTCTTGAGAACCCCCCCCACACTCCAGCACCTGCTACTGGGGAGCCTGTCTGGATGGCTGCTGGCTGCTCCGGACTACTTAATGGTCCCCAGTCAGCTGGAGAGACTGGGATGGTGGGTGTGGGACGGGAGGGAGGGAGAGGGGACAGGGGGTGTCTGTCTGGTGTTTGGGACAATTAAATGGGGTTCGGAGAGCAGAGGTTACGTGGGGGTGGTGTGAATGCCCCTTGAATTAAGAGGGGGTTGCCTTTTCAGACTTTGTGGATGGGGGCAGCGTGTGCGGATAGCCAGCGGGAATGTTATAAATCACACACACTTAAATTCAATATGGCTTTTTCTTATCAAAATGTGAGGAAAGTAACCAGAAAATGGGTCAAAGGAAGCACATTAAACCACCTTAGGATATCTACCCAATATTACTGCTAAGGCTTATGAACTAAACATGTGTGTGTATGTGTGTGTGCGCACGCTTGCATACCCTTTAAACTCAGCCAGCTGGCCTGCAAGGCAGACACAGATCTGAGAGGACACAACTAGGTCAGACTAGTGTGCTCTTGCTGCTGCACAGCCACTACATCTATGTGTTCGTGTTTTTGCATGTGCGAGTGGAAGTGTGTGAAGGCACATCATCACATCCCTCTGGGCCACAGTAACCTCACCAGAGAAGTCAGAAAAAATGTCCTCAAAACAGGGTTCATCCCTTACCAACAGTTACACTGAAAACTTTCCATCCGTGCTAAATTATTAACTTATCTATGATAATGATGCATGTAATTATGAATAACGTGATTCCATGTAATATGCTTCCACGGTAGAGTAGGCACAGAGTTGCAAATATGTAGCCTGGCAAACATTGACGTCATGCAGAAATAAGGTGTTCTGTTGCAACTCCATTTCCATTTCAGATCCTTCATAATGCTACAAAAACCACCACAGCCGAACAAGAGAAAGACCTGGTCTAGTTCCATTTGTGTTGATTTTAAGTTATTTACCAAGCTTTGCTACTACTAAAGTAGTAATGTGTAATGTAAATATAGCAGAGGCAGTGCAGAAGTGCAGGGTAGTAAGTTGAACTACAACGTCCTCTCTCTCTAAATTATGTATGCCACAATCTTTGCATCAACAGGGCCACTAGCTTGAGGCTATTAGCGAGGCAGGCGGGATAGAACCGGCTGTGAGGGGGGGGAAGCCCTCGAGACAAAAAAAAAAAAAAAAAAAAACGAGAGTGGAAGGAGGTGGAAACAGCAAATGGCTACTACGCCACGGGCTGTGTTGTACTGAGACGCCCTTGGGAAAACTGGGGCCAGGTGAAGGCCAGACAGGACAACAACCGCTGGACTCCGTCAATAATAATGACATTATAGGTTAATACTCTCAACCAGGCTCAACTTGAAGCCAAAATGAGAGATATATTCTTTTGAAATCTAAGGGCTGAGAGGTATTGCTTCTCTTGAGTGAGTTAAGCCTGCAGCCAAATTTAGTGCCTGAACGACAGCTGGGGAATCCCTGCACCGAACAATAACTCTTCATTGAATGAATAAGGCAGAACTTGCAAAAAAAACAACAAGCCTCCCCTTTAGTCTGATGCTGCGATTGGTGGCCCGAGTACGAGGATATCGGCGACAGAGCATACAAGGACCAGTTGCCTCTGTGATGCAGAGGGCTGTAGTTTGCCGACGAGCGAGAACTTGCACCAGAGCTGCTGCACATTTGTTTACGTTTGTCCCAGCGAGGCAAGCAGACACTCATGTGCGTTCCTGCTAACCTGGACATGAAGACATTGCGTGGTGTGCTACAGAGACATCGTTAAATCTATGTTCTTCACTGTGTCCTGTGCTAGAGGACGTGTGTACATCATTAAGCAGATGGTTGTGATTGCATTACAAACAAAAAAAGAAAAACTTTGGACGAACGCACGCAGAAATAATGACAGCAATCTAAAAAAAAAAAAATCTTGAGTGCGCATTCACTGTGATGTCCATAAAGTGTGAGAGAGAAAAAAAAAAGATATAATTGCCATGATATAAATAAATCATGGCCATCCTTTATTATCATATAGAAATACACACGAGCAGTCGCACAATGAGCACCTTGAGGCAGGTTCAGTATTAGTGATCTTAGGGGCCACCGGTGACTTCATTAAAAGATTACCGCTGGCTACAGAGGTCTGAGATGAGATGAGTGTACGTGTGTGGTCTTGTGATTCGAGCTAAAGAGCATGCAGAGGCTTGAATATGAAGGTATATTTGTGTCTTTATTACGCAAACAACAAAAAATGTTTTAAAAGCAAATTTCTTTTTTTTTAACCAAAAATTCTAGTTTCATAAGCAAAACTAACAAATAAATTATTCTCAGTTTATATATTTTCACTTAGAAACTTGATTTTTGATTGCAGTGCAAGAAATTTGCTTTTAAAACATTTTTTTTGTTTGCGTAATAAAGACACAAATATACCTTCATACTTTAAGAATTAAACCGTGTTTTTCTGACTTAGGCTAAAACCTCCAACCAGGATTTTTCCAAGGCTTGGAAAGAATTTGGCGTTATTATTGCCAATGTTAGAAGCACTTGCATATCCAGACCTGCACACCAATAGCACAGTTGGAAACGAGCATACAGCTAGGAGACGGCCAAAGAAATGGAAAGTAAGGGCAGCAGCCAATTTAAAACTGCTTAGACTTGAGTCTTACGTTTTAATTTGGCTTTAACTTGGTCAGCCTACCCACATAATTTAAGAGCTGTATCTGGACATTATTTAACACCGACAGGAAGTGAAGGTGCGCCGTTAAACTACAATTATAATCACCAAAATTTATTATGCTTAAAGTGCAGTAAATCTGTCAATGCTGCTTTGCACACCGCCGTATCTGTGCCAAGCCAAACCTAAAACAAACCCTGAAATATAGCTTAATGTGGGATCCTAAAAAAAAACCTGCATGTTACTGCATTTGTCTCAAAATTTGGGAATATCAAAGTCAATGTAACAAAGGTGGAAGCAGAGTGTTAGATTTAAAGGACGACTTAATTAGCTCATTGAGTGAAATATTACTAAACACGCAGCCAAAATATGCTAAAATGAAAACAAAATCACACCGAAGTTTAAAGGGTGAAACAATTTGTACACAGCCCCCAAAAAAGCGTCAAAATGAAAAAACAAAAAACGAATCAGGAATCAAATCCAGGGCGATTTAAATTTGTTTACTGTATTTACACAAACCTGGGTGGTGTTTGCTCGCAGTGGACGTGGCAGAGTTTGGGGAAGTGCTGCTGGTAGTCGTAGAAGAAGAAGAGTAAGACGATGAGGGCGAAGAGGAGGAGGAAGAGGAACAGGAGAGGGTGAGAGCGCTGAGGGCTCCTGCAGGCAGTGGCTGGCCTCTCTTCAGTAGCTGCTTGTGCTCCTGCTGGCGGAAGCGCGGGGGCACCTCTCTGGGCGGGTAGCGAGCACTGGCAGAGGACAACTGGCACTGCTGCTGAGGGGGAGTCTGGGTCGGGAGTTGGCTACTGGAGGAGGCGCGCTTGCCATTGCCAGAAGAAGAAGAGGAGGAGGAGGAGAGGGGCAGCGTAGGGCTGGCGGGGTGGAGGTGGTGGGGTGGGCCGGGACTGGGCTTAGTGGGAGCAGGCTCTGGCACTGGATGGACACAGCACACGGGCACACAGAAAGACACATGCAGGTAGCAAGGTATTAATGCCTGGGTTAACTCATTATTAGACCTTTATATAACCAAAAATATATTTGGCTGGGTAGTACTGACATCTGACAAGTGTGGTTTAATCAATTCCTTGGTAGCCCAAATCATGTATTTTTTAAGTTATATTATTACTTCATAATAGGATATTGTAGGGTTAACTAATGGTGCTTTCACAAAATATTTAGACAATCAGATTTTTGATAAATAATCATCAGTAATGTGGATATAATGACTAAGTGGAACAATAATACAGCAGCTTCAACAGTCTGGTAAGTTCAGAAAATGACATCACTTTACTGTAATGCAGCCTTTAAAACCAGAAAAAGACGACAATTATGACACGTTACGATACACAAAATCGAAGACGATATCTAGTCTCACGTCACGATATCAACATCATATCTGTATATTGCCCAGTTATGTTACAGCAGTGTGTGATGGAACGGCCCAGTTTGCCGGGAAGAATGTGCAACGGACAAATGTTCATCACGTCTCCACAAATGTAAGTTTGTGCATTCTATTATGTGTATAGTACTCGGCAGGTGTGTATAATTGAATCTTTCAGCATGCACTGCACGTTGGTGTGGACTGTCCCTTTAAATTAACTGCCTCATGCAGCCTCTTGTCGAACATATGTTACTGGCCCAGACGCACTCTATGAAAAGGTCATAATTTTTTTCTGCTGACTGAACAAACACATGGAGACACCTCCTTTCCTCTTCATTAAACAAACACACACACACACACACACACACACACACACACACACACCCCTTTCCCTGCTGGTTTGGCCTCAGCCTGACCCTTTCCCTGTGGTTGCGGTGACCGGCCAGCCATCTAATTGAGTGTTAGCCCGAGTGGTGGTATTATTAGCAGGACCTGGACAGCTAGCAACCAAACAGATTGGCTTGGCTAAAGTTTCTTCTCCGGGGTGCTGAGGAAAAACTGTCGGACACCGAATAAATCCTAGTGAGGAAGCTGAAGAGGATGTCGGTGTGCGTCTGTGGCTGTATGACCCCATGAGGAACCTTAACTAGATCCAGTATGGCACTGCTTTTACTCCCTGCTGCTCAGAAATGGCTGCTTTCATTATGGCTGCCAATTGCTAGTGACCCGAGAGCTGCTGTGAATTTCTTGGTCCATGGGTAAATGCGTTGATGATGTTGTCTTCTATACTCCCTATAGATATGGCTGCTCTACACAACAGCTGAGGCTGCCTTCACTCAAGGGAGGAGGAGGGGGAGAGAGAGAGAGAGAGAGAGAGCATGAAATAGTGGGAAATTAATGCAATGGAAATAATTTGTTCATTAAAGCCTAACTTTGTCCAGTGTGAGAACTATTTCCTACAGTAGTGGCAATTAACCACAAAGTGACACACACACACACACACACACACACACAGGCCAAAGCTGCCACACTGGAGGAAGTGCATTCAGAGCGCCAAAGGTATTCAGTGTGCCTGCCAACACCTCGTCTGAAGCTGAAAAACAGAGGCCCTCTCAGTGAGCACAACACTAATCCAGAAGGCTGCCGACCTGCTGACACACAGAACAGGCAGTGATGTGTATCAAACTTCAATATGCGGCAACACAGATAAAGATCCAAAATAAAAGCCCTCTGCGTAGAGGGAACTACATATGTAGTGCAGTATTTGAAGGCAAAACCTTTCCGTCTTCCATTGATGGACGCCCTTCACACACACCTCTACTTTTTTCCCAAAAACATAAAAATACGAGAGAGAGAGAGAGAGAGCGAGCGAGAGAGAGAGACTGCCCCCTCCAGCAGTATCTGGCTGGCTGTTGGCTTGGAACTGCAGCTGGTGACGCACATCTCTGATTAAATCCATCTCGGCCTGCCTAACGCTGCCTCGACCAATCAGACAGCTGGACGGTGAATGCCCTGCCCCCTTTCCTCACTGTCCTTTCCAATGGCCCAGGAACTACCGGGATGCAGTTTGCACTATTTGGTTGCTGCACGCTGCTCAAACAGAAGCCTGCCGACTGCAAAATTGTGTGCAGAAGTCTTTTAGATTAGAGGAATTGTTAATTAATATATTTTGAGATTTAAATGACAGTTAACGCCCCGACTAGATGACAAGCAAGAAACTAAATTGAGAGGGGTGGTTATGTTCATGAGCAGAAAATAAAGCAAATATAAATCATTTAGCAGGTGGCCTAATTCAAAGATGAGCTCTTTGTCTTCTTCCACTTTTGTTCTCGTCTCTGACAAACAGTCAAATAATAGTTTATCAGTCTCAAACAAACGGGATTCCTATTTAATCTGGTATCCGTCTAATTTGCCAAATCTCTCTC